CTCACTTGGTAGCCCAGGCTGGCCTCGAACTCACAGAGATCCACCTGGCTCTGCCTCCCGAGTGCTGGGATTAAAGGCGTGCACCGCCACCACCGCCCGGCCTATATGAGACTTTTGATGGATCACAAACTATGACAGTGTGGCTTAGGCAAATGGGGACTAAGAAAAAGCTGTTTTCTGAAATCCTAAAGCACTTCATCTCAGACTTGCAGGGATGGCTGAGCCAACAGAAATCAATAAATGTAATCCACTGTATAAATGAATTCAATGACAGAAGCTATCTCAGTAGTTGCAGAAAAGGTCTGTGACAAAATCCAACAGTTCTTCATGATGAAAGCCCTGAAGACACTGGAAATACAAGGAACGTATCTCAGTGTAATGAGGGAATAAACACAAGCCTGTAGCCAATGTCATGCTGACTGGAGACAAACCTAACCAATAAGGCAAAGGAGCTGTACAATAAAAACTTTAAAACCCTGAAGAAAGAAATTGATGAAGACCCCAGAAGATGGAAAGACCACCCATGCTCATGGTCTGTAGGCTTAATATTGTGATTTGGTAGGCCATCCTACCAAAAACAGTCTACACATTGAATGCCATCTCCATCCAAATTCCAATGCAGTTCTTCACAGAATTTGAAAATAACAATCTTAAAATTCATGTGGAAACACAAAAAATCTTAGATAACCCAACAACCCTGAAAAACAGAAACACCTCTGAAGGGATTATCATTTACAGTGCCATGGTAATAAAACAGCATGATGCTGGTGCAAAAACAAACTGATCAATGGAATGGAATTGAGGACCCCTTCAAACAAAGACTAACCCCTAAGATTCTTAGATCAATGTAATGGTTCCTTCAGTAGTGGGTAATGTATGTCTTTTATATGAAGTCTACCTTGGAATAAGCTGTGTTCTTAGAAATTTTAAAATTATACCACAATGTCTTTTGTCTTGAAGAAAACAGACAAAGTTGTGTGATTCCCCCTGTTTTCTCCCTGCTGGAGATTCAAATAAAGTGAGTGAGACACTTCCTCCCCAACAGCCCAATTTCAACCCATGGTCCTACAAAACCGAAGAACAAGAGACAGGCAGACCTGTGACGGCATGGACGATCTTCATTAGGGGGCTTACTGATCTAGGGGCAGCAGGAAGATCAGCTGGGTCCCCACAAAGACAGGTATATGTACAGGCTAAGGCAGGATTTATTTCATCCTAGTTAAATGTATCCGGCTTGCCTTAAGCTCATATCAGAACCAGGCACATTCCCAAGCCCCACAGACCACTCTTAGTTTATCCATTTATAATCTGCTGGGAAACTATGCAAGAAAACCCAAGAGTTATTCATTCTGAGGCAATCATGGTTACAGCTCAAGGTGGTGCTAGTCATGTCAAGCTGAATTCATAAAAAATACTGTAAATACTATTAATTAAAGAGCAGACTAGGGTATCAGTTCCCCTGGAATTGGAATTACAGATAGTTTGAGCTGCTATCTGAGTGGGAATTGAACCCAGGTCCTCTGGAAGAGCAGTCAGTGCTCTTAACCACTGAGCCATCTTTCCAGCCTTTGCCCCCTTGTCTTAATTAAATGTTATGTGTTGTCACTGAGGTCAGCATCAGGCTTTTCATGCACTTCTCAGTTTTCAGATCACTAGGCTTGGCACAGACAAGATCCCCCTGTGACAAAGCTAGATGTGTTGCTCTAAACCAGAACAGGAAAGTAAATGTTTTTATATTAATAAAAACAAACAAACAAAAAAAAAAAAACGCTGACAACCTCTTAGGCGGTCACTGGGGAAGGCAGAAGAAAGTGGTTGGCAATAGATGCCCTCCTTCTCACACAATGGCTTGGTTCCCAGGTCTTAGGTTTTGCCTCAGGCATTTTATGCACTCCTGAACTCTCTGATCACTGGGGTTGGCACAGACCTGGTTCCTCTTCTTGGTGACAAAGCTGGAGAAAAAGGGGAAGAAAGATTACAAACAGAGGTCTCTAGTAAATAGGGAAGGGAACCCCATCCTCTGGACCCTCCAAGACTCCACTCAACAATCTGTTCTTTCCAGGAGATGACTCAGACCACCTCCTCTCCAGGGTCTTCTCTAGGCCTGTGAGATTCCCTAATGGAGTGACTCAGGCAGTCTCCTTCTCTACACTCTGAAATATACTCTCTACCACCTGGCAGTGCCCAAGGATGGGGTTTTCCTGGATATCTAGTAAGTGTTTTAATATCCCAGAGGCTTCCTTGCTCCCAATACACAGTGAGTGAACTTGACACTTACATGATGCCTGGCTTGAGACAACTACCACTGGTTGGAAAATAATATACAAATCTTGAACACTTGATCCATGAGGTATAGGAGAAGCAGCAGTCTGGAGACTCTCCAAAGCCTGTAGGAAGAGAAAGGGCCATTCAAGGACCAAGTCTTTGCTCTTAAGAGTGCTGTGTGTGTGTGTGTGGGGGGGGGGTCCCAGAGCAGGACCAGGACTCAGGGGATGCTCTCTCCTCACCATGCCTCATTGTCATCTCCTTTCACACTCTCTAATGGTCCTAAGGTGGACCACAGTAGGGCTAGGAGCATGTCATCTACAGGCAATTTCTGCTCCAAGTGGGCAGACTTGGTGCATAGAGAAGGGAATACTGGAGGGAATATTCATGACCCATCCTAATCTTCCCAGAAATGTTGCTGGAAATTCCTTAACATCCCTAGTGATTTCTGGAGAGCATCCTCAACCACCCTCATGATGTTGTTCTGTTCTATCATCAAGGAGGAGGATGCTCTAGGGCTGATGGGCAACCATTTAGTACTTCTCAATACAAGCTGTAATGAAATATTTACCCAGGGGAAGCATGTCAAGTTCAAGTCCTTCCTTTGCCTCCAGGACTTCTTTTGTCTCTGTCGCTGGAAGAAACAGAGTACAGAGAGCAGCGTCATTGTCTCAGCATCTCCACTTGCCGCCACCACCCCCATTCTTGCCAAGGCAAACAGGCTCCGATGCTGGGCCCCCATCACACGCTTGGGTTCTAAGGTCTGTCTCTGGGCCCATTCGTGCCTTTTAGTGACATGAGATTTCTCTGAGATTGTTTGAAAACATCCTGCTGATAAAGTACTTAAAAGTGAAGTGTAAATGTAATACAGTGACATTAATGAAGTGTCTACATATAGTGGTACACTCACAGTTCTTGGTACATTTTTCTGCAATCTTTAGGAATTTGGAAACTGCATGTTTTTCCTCAACTCCTTTGGGGACACAAGGACCCTTGAAGTGAAATGAGGCTCCTAATAGTCTAAGTTTATATAAATGTCTGATGAAGGGATGCTTTGCAGAAATCATCAGGGATGTTACGTGGTATCCAGCAACATATCACTTTTTAAAACCTAGAAAAATCCTGCATCCCCAAATATATCTAAGCCCAAAGATTATTGATAAAGGATTGGGAATTTGCATTGTGTTAAGAAAAGGCAACTAACCCTTTATATCATGTCTTCAATAGTTACATATGAATAATGGGTAGTAAGGTGTATGACTACTTTTTTTTTTTAAACATGCTTGATGTGATGTGATGTGGATGGGCTTCCAAAGTAAATCTTAAATAGCATTACCTTAAACACATCATTACTAATCCACCTCTTAATTTTATCCTTTACTGCTTATATAATCTTAAGTTATCGAAGGCTTCTCTGTCTCAGTTTTCTCCTTTGTAAAATGAGCACAGCCATAATAGTATACAGGACTATGCAAAATTGCTTGTCTTCTAACTTCTTTTTTTTCCCCTACAAGAATGGAGAATTTCTATTTGTCCAACCCCCCCAGGAATGCTGGAGGAGAAATGAACCAGCATCTGTAAGACAGAACAGTAGCTGCCTGGCACCTAGGGAGTGCTAAATAAATCCTTGTGTGAGAAATAGGATGGCTAGGCAACTCTACTAAGTGTATTTGTTTCCTGCATCCTATGTATTCTGATATACTTAAGATCTTGACAGCGGGGAGAGGTTAACTGCTTCTTAACAGAGGGTGCAAACCAACTCAGGCTGAGCCCAACCACTCATCACCCTCAAACGCCATGCTCGTGTTTCCCTTACCCTAACTCTCTAAGTTAGACCCTGGACAATCAGAAACCATCCATATGTTCAAAGTCTGCCAGACTTCTTCAGGCTTGGAAGTCTCACCTGTACCCTGCCTCTTTCCCAGTATCCCTAATAAAGAACATGAAGCGAGTTTCTCTACTTCTATTGATTATACCTCCTGACTCAAGTCCAGTATTCCCCTTGGCTCTGTAGGGTATGGTGTACCCCTCTGCCTTGGAAAAGTTAAGGAATACATCTTTTATTTTACAGGACCTCTCTGTGTTGAGCCCTAGTTACCTCCATAAACTAAAATATCATAGCTTCAAATGAGACCATGACCTTGGGTGAGCCATTTGCCTAGCTGGTCCCAGGGCCTTAAAAAAGGATGGTTTTATACTCACTGGCATCTAACAGTTCTAGCATCACAGAACTCTGCTTATTTTCACAAATTTACAATTTAATTATAGTTATTTTGGGGTAGCTAAAACATTAGCTAAGATGATCTTAAGCCATCAAATAATTCTAGCTATGAAAAAGGAAGATACTGTTTCTCCAAATGGAAGCAAATCATCAGTGTACCAGGATCCGGAGCAGTGGTTCTCAAACTTCCTAATGCTGAGGCCTTTAATACAGTTTCTCATGGTGTGGTGACCCTCAACCACAAAATTATTTTTGTTGCTACTTCAGAACTGTAATTTTGCTGCTGTTATGAATGATAATGTAAACATCTGATAGAAGGATATCTGACATGTGACTCCCATGAAAGGGTCGCTACTCACAGGTTGAGAACCACTGACCCGGAGGCTGCAAAGAAAGGTCTGTGCTTTGGTGCAGTTTCTAAGCAAACACCACTGCTCTGTGGGGCATAGAGATTATTCACAGCAGTCCATGCTGCCCTTCTCCCCGGACTTCCAGTTCCCATGGTACTCACCATGTATGATCTGGGCCTGGAGCCCAAGAGCAGCTGCAAGAAAGAGGAAGGAGAAAGCAGTAGGAGAAGACTTCATCCTCCCGGTGGGCAGAGCCAACTGGTCTTCAGACTGCTCGCTGTCCCCTGCCTTACCTGGCTATTTATAAAAGTGAGAGGACCAGGAAGTCCCAGGTTACAGCTCATAATGCTGTTCTTTGACTACACGATACTCAACATGCTAATTCCAGAAGAGGGAACAAGGCTCGGAGTACAATGGGAAGTAGAGGGCAAAGGTGACCCGGGGCTTTCCAAACTGTTCCAATCGATTCAGTCAGAGAGAGAGTAAATATTTCCAGGAGGATTTCTCCTCCCAGGAGATTCATTCAGTTCTTCAGCACTGACCACAGGGTGGGAGTGGGGGGTCCTTCCAGACCTCTGATGAGGGGTTAACTTGGAGGATACTTACTTATGCTCATTTCCAGTGGACTGAGACATATAGATTATAAATGCAAACTTATATGTCTTACTAGAGACATATAAAATTGATGTTGGGTCCTTTTTCATTATTTTTCTTTATTTTTTAGAGATTTATTTTGTTTTACATTCATGAGTGTTTTGCCTGCAGGTATGTGTGTGTACTACATACCTGCAGTGCTCATGGAGGTCAGAAGACGGCGTTAGATCCCCTGGAACTGGAGTTACAGATGTTTGTGAGCCACCACGTGGTTGCTGGAAACTGAACCTGGGTTTTCTGAAGGAGCAGCAAGTGCTCTTAACCACTGAGCCTACTCCTCAGCCCCCTTAGATATTTTTTAATATCCTTTAACTCAAGACGAAAAATCTCTTTAGAATGTCTATCAGGAGAAACATCTAAGGCTGGATGTGGGGTGGTGCTCACCTTTAATTCCAGCACTTGGGAGCCAGAGGCAGGTCTGTCTCTGTGAGTTTGAGTAGACCAGCCTGGTCTACAGAGTGAGTTATTTAAACTCCGCGAGTTAGTAAATGTTTGTTGTTTATTTGTAGTTTTATTCCGATGTGGTCAAATAAAATAGGGAGGGAAGCCTAGAAAGGAAGCTCATGGGTTGAGAGTGCTTTTTGCTTTTGTAGGGGACCTAGGTTTGGCCCTTTGAGGTTCGTAAGCCCATTCCTATCATGGGAAGTTCTTCCATTCGTCTTCAGTTATGACTGAGCACTTTGCAGGGGATAGTGGTCTGGACTGGAGGTTGATGTCTCCCAAAACTTGAAGAACACCATACCAAGCTCTTCTGTTCTTTAAATCTTCTGCTGAAAACTGTTACTCTGATGGGCTTGTCTTGATGTGTGACTTGGTGTTATCTCTTGCTGCTTTCCACACGCCTTTTTTTTTTGTTATGGATATTTAGTGGTTTAATTATATATGATAAGAGGAAGTTCAGCTCTTGTGTATTTGGTGTTCTAAATGCCTCCTCTGTTTGAACAGATTTTTTTTTTTTTGGCCTGGTGTGGGGGAAATTTCTGCTATGATTTCATTGGAGATGTTTTCTATGCATTTGGAAAGGAGTTCTTTACCCTCTTTTACTCCTGTGATTCTTAGATTTTACCTTCTCCTAGTGTCCCAAATAGCTCAAAAGTCCAACTCATACCTTTCCATGAATTCATCTTTGTCCTTGTCATGTTCCAGTTCCTATACCTTACCTTCAGGCTCAGATAGGCTGTCCTTCCATTGGCTGATTCTACTGGTGAGGCTTTCTGTAGAACTTTTAATTTTTTTTTTTTTTTTTTTTTTTTTTTTTTCCAAAAGGGGTTTCTCTGTGTAGCTTTGCGCCTTTCCTGGAACTCACTTGGTAGCCCAGGCTGGCCTCGAACTCACAGAGATCCGCCTGCCTCTGCCTCCCAAGTGCTGGGATTAAAGGCGTGCGCCACCACCGCCCTGCCGAACTTTTAATTTTTTGACTCACTATATTTTGGATCTCCAGTAGCTCACAATGGTTTTTCTTTAGTGTTTCTATACCCTTATTGAATTCCACTTTCATATCATGTATCATGATATTTATTTAATTATCCTTATTTAATTCAGATGTTTGTTTGTATTCTCTTGGGATTCTCCTTTTATGCACAGAGATGGGAGAGGACCAGTTGAGCTGCAGACTCTTGTATTTCCTATGGTTTGTGCTGGTATCAAGTCTGTACTGGACAGGTGTGTGACGTCCATCTGCACAGTCTTTTGCTTTTACAGTTCCCATTCTTTGCAGAGCAGAGGTTCCGTGGGTCCCATAGGTTTCCTTCTGTGGTCTGGGTAGATTCTTTCATCCTCCTAAGACTTGCCAGATTGGGGTGCTTTATGTTTTATCTGGAGGGTGTTTCCCCAGTGTGTTGGGAATGTGGGAAGAAACCGCAGCACCGAGGTTGATTTGAGCAGAGGACCTGTCTTCATATTTTCAAGGCCTCTTGAGTATGACTCACCCTGCTGGGGGAATGCCACTGTGGGTATCGTGTTGGTTACTTTAACTGGCAATGTGCCATAGCTTAGAATCACTGGGGAAGAGAATCTTAAGGAGGAATTAGCTAGATAGGGTTGACCTGCGGGCATGTGTATGGGGGATTGTCTTGGTTGTTAATTAAAGTTGGAAGACCTATCCTGAATGTGGGTGGCACCGTTTCAGGTGCTGAGCCCTGGACTGTGTAAGAGTAGAAACAAATTGGCTGAGAACTAAGCAAGCGAGGAAGGAACACGCGTGTGTTTATTTCTCTCCGTCCTTGACTGTGGCTGTGCAAACTCCTGCCTCAGTGACTTCCCTGCTGCGATGGCCTGTGACTTGGGTTGTAAGCTAAACTAGATCATTTCCCTCCTCATGCTGCTTTTTGTCAGTACGTAGGTATCTTGTACACTCTTGGAACTTAAGAAGCCTTGGGCCCTACGACAGTGAACAACCTCTGGCTCTGGGATTTGATCCATCTGCCGGCTTCAGGCTCGAACTATCAAATCCAGGCTTATTCTCAGTTGATGGATCTGTTCCCTGTCGTCGAGGGTGGGGCTAGCTCTCTTACGCACGTCTGAGCCTGAGCTAACCTCCTGTGACTTGAACCTTCAGCTCATCAGTGTCCAGCCCTCCAGCTCTCCACAGCTCATCAACTTCCCTCACCTAGAGGTTGTGGTGAGCCAAGTTATGGCTCCCCAACTGGTAGAGGTTCCCTGGCCTCAGGAACATCTACCAGTTTTGAATAACTCATAACTCAGTTTTGAATAATGGATTTTATCTCGGGATGGTGCCTGACTGTTGTGTGAACAAAAGGTATTTCTCTCCACCACTGACCCATCCAAATGAGGAATTACTGCCGCAGCAAAACCTATGACTGGATTTGAGCCTCATGGGAGGTGCAGGCTCGCCCTGTGACTGGAAGCTGTCCCCTCCGCCTCCTGGGGAACAACGTGGGGTAGGCTGCATTCATCAGTTACTTCCCTGCATGGGGGAGGGGTTATTTTCTGCACTCCCCCCACCCCCCCACCCCCGGTTCTGAAGCTTCTCTTAGCTTTCTTTCTGGGATAAAGTGTATTTTTTTTCTTATTTTGATCTTCCACTTGACTTGCTTATTCAGCCATTTTTACCCCCAAATGTGTATTTCATAAGAGCATAATATTGTAGCAATACAAAGAATATCAGGGCAGGTAAAGGGAAGGCTTGAGTTCATGGCTGATGTTGCCTTTGTTCCTCAGCCTCTCAGAGGCCCCTGTCATTCCTTAACCCCACCAAACAGAGACAAAACCCAAAGACATTTTAGTCAATTTAATGGTTCCCTCCATAGTGGGTAAAATACCTCTTTGATATGAAGTCTATATTGGAATAAGTTGTGTTCTTAGAATTTAAAAATTATACCATGATATCTTTGGTTTTGAAGAAAATATTCAAAGTTACATGACTTGCCCTGGAAATTCAAGGTGAGTGAGTGCAATAATTTCTCCCCAATAGTCCAATTTCAGACAGCTCGGTGGTTCTGTGAATCTGAAGAAAAAGACTGACAGACCTATGACTACACAGATGCACTTTATTTTTTGGTGGTGCTTACTGCTCTAGGGTGGTAGGAAGAACAGCTGGGTCCCCACAAAGTTGGCCATATGTATGGGCTAGGGCAAAATTGACTTCATCTTGGCTCGATGTACCTGGCTTAAGTTAGTATTAGAACCAGACACATTCCAAAGCCCCCAAAGAGTGCTCTAATAGTTTATCCATTTATAATCTGCTGAGAAACTATGCAGGAAAAACTCAATAGTTACTCAAAGACAATCATGATGGTTACAACTCAAGATGGCTGTAGTCATGTCAAGCTGAGTCCCTATAAATACTGTTGACTACATGAGCCATTTTAACCAGAACAGCAGGATACATCCTTTAAATATCTATAAAAATAAATGCTTAGAGCCTCCTAGGTGGTCACTGGGGAAGGCAGAAGAAAGTGGCTGGCAATACATGCCCTCCTTCTCAAGCAATGGCTTGGTCCCCGGGTCTTATGGTTAGCCTCAGGCGTTTTATGCACTCCTGAACTCTTGGATCACTGGGGTTGGCACAGACCTGGTTCCTCTTCCTGCCGACAAAGCTGGAGAAAAGGGGGAAGAGAGATTACAAACAGAGGTCTCTAGTAAATAGGGAAGGGGACCCCATCCTCTGGACCCTCCAAGACTCCACTCAACAATCTGTTCTTTCCAGGAGATGACTCAGACCACCTCCTCTCCAGGGTCTTCTCTAGGCCTGTGAGATTCCCTGATGGAGTGACTCAGGCAGTCTCCTTCTCTGCACCCTGAAGTATCCCTCTGCTTACCTGGTGAGATCCAAGGATGGGTCTTTTCTGGAAGCCTATCCACTAGGTCATCTAGGATCCCGGAGGCTCCCCCTCTCCCTCGCACACAATGAGTGTGTTTGACACTTACATGATGCCTGGCTCGATGCATCCACCACTGGTTGGAAAATAGGACACAAATCTTGAACACGGGATCCGTGAGACATAGGAGAAGCAGCAGTCTGAAGAGCCATGAACGCCTGTAGGAAGACAAAGGGCCACTCAGGAGCCAAGTTGTTGCTCTCGAGAGTCCTGTGGAGGTCTCGTGGAGGGTGAGAAGGCCCAGGACTCAGGACATGCTTCTGCTCTAAGCAGGTGGACTCAGGGCACCCAGGTCATATGGAGAGAGGGCGTCACTGGAGTGAGTCCCCATGGCTATGCGGCTCTTTCCAGAGATGCTTGCCATCCTCAGGGCCCTTCCATCCTGTTCCATCAGTAGGGAAGGTGAAGCTATAGTACACTATCCACCCAGTCCTTTAAAATAGGTCATATCTGGCCATTTACCTTGATGAAATACTGGAGGTTCAAAGCGACCAATTTCACTCCTCTCTCCTAGTATTGTTTCTGGAAGAAACAGACAAGGTCGGGGAAAGAAATTCGTGGTTGGTAGCGTTATATTAGCCCCTCCATTCACAACATATCCCATCCTCAGGTTTTGGTGAATGAGGAATGATCTTGCCATTCTGCTCAGGGTGGCTTTGAACCCTCAATTATACAGACTCGGCCTTTTGAGTGCTAAGAGTACTGTGTGCACCAACATGCCCTACTCCCTTCTCCCATCTGATGGCAGGCAGGCTCTGTTGCTGGATCTCTGCTAACCTATCTGAGCTGAAGGTCTGCCCCAGGCTAGTGTGTCTTTTTGCTATGAGATTTTCCCCTGCCCTATGATTCTTCAAAAATATTTGAGAAATAAAAACATTCTATAGATTCTGAAATCCTAAAAACCAGCTGCAAATCTAACACAGGTAAGTTAACTGAAAGTGCGTTGTGTGATAGGTCACATGTGTCTACACATCTGGAATCTATGGGACTCTAGAAACCAATTTTCTAGCAACCCATTTGGTGGTATGATGTCCTTTATAGTGCAGGAAAGTTTTTTTTGTTGTTGTTGTTTTTTTACTTTGTTCCATTAGTACAAAGATACACATATGTTATAGGAACGTTGCTTTGTTTGATTATAGTATGCTTCCTAGATCAGATCTAGGATAAGAAACAGCCAGGTGTGTGTGTGTGTGTGTGTGTGTGTGTGTGTGTGTGTGTGTGTGTGTGTGTGAGAGAGAGAGAGAGAGAGAGAGAGAGAGAGAGAGAGGTGGGTGTGCATGCAGAGGTCAGAAGACAACTTAATTTCGTGGATTAGTTCTCTTCTTCCACCTTTATGTAGATTCTGGGGTCTAACTCAGGTCACCAAGCTTTCTTTACTACTGAACCACCATGCCAGCCCCATGTAAATATATATATTTTTAATTTTAAAATATTTTTGTTTATGTATTTTCTTGTTTTTATATCCCAACTGAAGTTTCCCCTCCCTCCTCTCCCCCAGACCCTCCCCATCTACCCTCTCCCCCACAACCCACTCCTCCTCTGTTTCTCTTCAACCATTTAAATAATTTTTAAGTGTCCAGTTTAATAGTATCAAGTAACTCAAACCAGTGTGTAACTACCACCCCACCCACTTATAACCTCTCCAACCTGCAAAACTGAAATTCAGAACCCATTAAATATCACCTCCCATCTCCCCCCGTCTCAGCTTAGCAAGCATGACTTTACTCACTCTGTGCGATTTCTTTTTTAAAGACCAGGTGTTGCTGTGTCACTCAGACTGACCTCTAACTCAACCCTCCCACCTCAGCTTCCCAGCAGCTGGAATTACAGGCGGGCACCACCGCGCCTCTTTTGTCTTTACGAATCAACTTCTTTAAGGGCACCTGCCCTTCCTGACTGGCATATTCCACTCACCATACCAATTCCTCGGTGTCCATCCATTTTGTTGCACACACCAGAATGCCCTTCCCTCTCAACACTGAGTAATATTCCCCTACAGAAGCACGCCACTCACACTTTACTTATCCACCCATCTGCTGATGGGTATGTAGAATGGCTCTTCTTTCTGTGTGGTGCAAATAATTCCACTATGAACATGAGTGTATCAAAATTTTTCCATGTATCTACTCGGAAATTTTTTGGTCAATACCCAGAAGTAAAATGGTTGTGTTATATTAACTTATTAAAACTCTATTTCTGCATTGCAAAGCTCGTGTAGCGCCAGAGATTCCAGATCAAGTATTCTAAACCTGCCTTATTAGGCAGATGCACCTCAACCAGCCCTTCCTTCCTTTCTGCCTTCTTCTCCCTCCTTTCTGCCCTCCCTCATTCCCATCTTCTCCCTCCTTCCCTCCTTCTTTCCTTTCTCCCTCCTTCACTCCTCTCTTTGCTAACTTGAAGTTACATTATCCTAGCCGAAAAGGTAGCTTTTTTTTTCCTCCCCGAGACAGGGTTTCTCTGTGTAGCTCTGCGCCTTTCCTGGAACTCGCTTTGTAGACCAGGCTGGCCTTGAACTCACAGAGATCCGCCTGCCTCTGCCTCCCAAGTGCTGGGATTAAAGCCAATGCCCAGCTGAAAACGTAGCTTTGAAAGTTGATATTTCAGCTGGGTGTGGTGGCGCGCACCTTTAATCCCAGCACCCGGAGGCAGAGGCAGGCGGATCTCTCTGAATTCGAGGCCAGCCTGTCTACAGAGCCAGTTCCAGGACCCCCAAGGCTACACAGAAAAACCCTGTCTCAAATTGCCCCCCCCCCAACCCATAAAAAAGTTGTTAGTTAGTGGCTGGAGAGATGCCTCTGCTTTTGCAGAGGACCAGAGTTCAGTTCTCAGCACCCATGGCAGGGGGCTCATATTGCGTGTAACTCCAACGCCAGGGGATCCAACACCTGGCCTCTGAAGGTATCTGCCCACGTGCATGCCCATACTCAGACAAAAACATGCATGAAAATAAAACAAATCTAACTAAAAAATTGGCATTCACTTCTTATATCAAAACATAAATGAATGCTTTTGGCAGCAACTCATCCGACAATTGTTTTCCAGTGTTCTTAGCTTATTCCTTTCGTTGAGTTGGTCTACTGCATTTGGAGCGGAAGCAGAGTGGAGTGGAAACAGAGTCAACCGTGGAAAAATGTCCCGAAATACAACTGAAGCACTCGAGACTCCTTCTTGCCATCGTCCCCTAAGCAACAATATAATGAGTATTCACTGGCATTTAAATTGTTTGAAGTCTTACGAAGGTCTAGAGTTTTTTATGCACAGATGAGTATGTGCATGGGACAGGAAATCTGTGGATTTTGATATCCACATGGGGTGGAGGAGTCATGACGCCAGGACACCAAGAGATGGTGTAGTCAGCTTGGCTTACAGAAAGGAGGCCATGGGGATACATTGTAAAGTGTTTCACCTGTTCTAGGTGGAGCTTGCAAAACCCAGGAAAGATCCTAAATGACTGACCATGCCTTTTTATAACCCATTCTAGGATAGCTCCTACTCCAGTTCCACCGCCTACCAGCCTTCATCTTAAGGCTATGACTTCTATGATTCAGTTTTCTCATTTATAAAATGACAGCAGTCACAGTAATAGAGAAAAATATATAAAATCACCAATGGTCTGCTGTTTTCTCCTATGAAAAAGGCAAATTTCCATTGTTTAACCCCACAGGCTTGTCAGGAGGAATCAAGGTGCTAACAGCCGTAAGACAAACAGAACGGTAGCTGTCCAACACACAAGAAATGCTGGATATGCATTTGTCAAATAAAAGAATAGCATGGTTAAACGATTTGGGGTAGAGTTGATTACCTGCCCATCCCACTTCTCCAAAATGATAGAGTTTTTGGAGGTGGTGTCTGATACTTTATTTTGTAAGTCTGCTTTCCTCAGACTTAGAATTTTACTCCAGTTCTTTGGAGTTAGCACAGTCAGCTAACGAAATGTATCAAACATAATTGCTTCCCCAAATGAGACCCAACTTCTGTGCCTAGTTTCCTCCAGGGTCTAAAGGCTGCAGACAGAGGCAGGTCTGTAACCTGATGCTGTTTCTAAGTAAAGCCCATCACCGTGTCAAGGATGGAGAGTATTTCCAGGAGGGCAGTGGTCTCCTTCTCTGTCCCCTCTCCAGTTCTGAAGTTCCCACAGACTTGCCCAATGGGTGAGAAGGCTCAATGGACTCACCATGTATGATCCCAGCCTGGGATCCAATGACAGCCACAAGTATAAAGAACGAAATGGCAGTCGCCGAGTTCCTCATCCTCCTGGAAGGCAGGCCCAGCTATTCTGAGAATTTCTGCTCACTGCTCCCTGATGCACTGGCCTGCCCTGGTATTTATATGCTAGGAGGATCAGGAAGTCCCAGGCTAGAACTGAGAATGCTGTTCCTGCCTATATAATACTCAACATGCTAGTTCTAAAAGAGGGAACAAGACTGAAATTGCAACAGGAAGTAGAAGACCAAGAATGCAACAGGAAGTGGGTGCAAAGGTTACGGTGGGCTAGAAAGCCAGGGAAAAGAAAGGGATGTGGGACTTTTTACTCAGAAGTCTTCTTGAAGATTGAGACCTGCTGGTGACCACAGCTAGTAAGTGGTGGAATTAGGGTAGGAGCTGGACTGGAAGTGAGTATGGAAAAACATGATCATTTGGGATCTTTCTGGTTTTTGCAAGCTCCACCCAGAACATGTGAAGCATGCACAAGCTGAGAGTCAAGAATTCCAGCATAAATAGCAACAAAAAAGTTGCCTATAGAGACAACACTCCTTGTATACAGAGATATTTTAAATAAGAATGTTACTATAGCAACGGATTATGGTGCTTATATACTTATTAGATAGCAATGAACTATGTTCAATAATATTTGATGTTTAAGTATGGCCTAATTCCCTTCCCAGATGTGAATGTGGAATTTTTCTGAGAATCTTAGAAATAAGACTATAAACTTCATTATAGTGAAAATGTATCTTAACTTCCTTGTTGGATCCTCACAACCTAGAGTATTACCGTACCAGCTGTAATCCTACCCAGTGTACCCCAAGAGCCTCTCTGTGATCTCATTTACCTAAAAAGAGAAAATAAAACCCTTAGCAGCCCTTTGGGATGTAACTTCAGAGGCCGCCAAAATTATGTGTGGCTGTTGTAACAACTTAACTCTAACTTAACGGTGACTCTCTTAGGAAGTACACCTGAGTGTGTACTGTCCATTTCCTAAGTGTCTCTGTTCATACTCACATTTAAGTTTATGCTTAAAAAATTCTCTTCTTAACAAACTCCAATCCTAGGGCCGGAGAGATGGCGTAATTGTTAAGAGCATAAGCTGCTCTTGTAGAGGACCCGAGTTCAGTTCTCAGCACCCACAATGGGGAATTTACAACTGCCTATAACTCCAGCTCCAGAAGAACTTGACTAATACCTCTGGCCCCTGTGGGTGCTTGCATATGCGCGCACCTCACCCACACAAGACACAATATAGATACATGTTTAATAATAGTAAATAAATCTTAAAACAAAAACAAAAACAAAACAAAAACCTCCAATTCTGCTTCATATTGCCTGCCTCTGAAATTCTTTTATGAGATGCAGTGAAGCATCCTGCTTCTCCTGTGCTAAGGTCTCCAAAAAGAACTCTCCAGACAGCTGGGTGGTGGCACACACCTTTAATCCCAGGACTGGTGGGTGGGCAAAGGCAGGTGGGTCTCTGAGTTTGAGGCCAGCCTGGTCTACAGAGGGAGTTCCAGGACAGTCAGGGATGTTACATCGAGAAACTCTGTTTCAAAAAACCAAACCAAAACAAACAAAAATCGAAAGAGCCAAAGAACTCCCCAGGCTGGTACAGGTAGCAGCAGGGAGCTGTGTGTCCAATTCATACCCTGCTACCTACTGCTACTGACATCTTTCCTGGTGACTGCAAAGGGACCACGTCTGAAGCAGTGGTGGTGAATTTCCTTGTCAACCACTTAGCTCCTCTGCTCTACCCTTTCGGCTTACACATCGCTCTCATTTCTTTCTCTCTGTTTCTGGCCAGAGACTCACACAGTGTTTGATGCGTAACACCGGCCTTGCAGACAGGAATCTCCTGGGAACCATCCGTACGGCTCTCCTGATCAGATGGAACAATCAGGGAGGTTCCAAAGGACACCACCCTATGGACTGTTCTACCAGTAACTTGCACTACTGTTTGGCCTCTGGGAGAGCCATTGGAGACCCTGTGGGTGTGAAATGACCATGGTGTGACACCCGGAGTCCCAAACCTCGTTAAACAGTGTGTGCTGTGTCTGAAACACACCAGGAAAGGCTGTTTCTGTGTGTGACGTGCTCTAGCCCCTCTCTTTTGGATCCCGAAATCTTCCTATTAAGTCCTCCCAGCTGTTGCTATTGTATCTGTTTTCTGTGAGCCTGGTCACCTCAGGCATAGGGAACTGGGCAATCTCCTCACCAAAATGTTCTTCTGCTGAAGATCCTGATCCCGTTTTAATTCCAGAGTCTCACCAGAGGATGCTTTGGGGCTTCTAGAACCTATCAGTGTCCTAACAGGCAGTTTTAGACTCCGTAGTCCTCCTTTCCTGAGAAGGTTAAAACCCCATCTGTTGAGTGTAACTGCAAAGAGACGCAATTCGGAGAAGGTCTCCAGGGAAGCCCGGGCAGAAATTCTTCACCTGCGCTTTAGTCTGTTCACGACCCTGAGACAGGTTGTTAGATTGTCCAGTCCAGGTTGATTTCCTTTAGCACAGGAACATAGTTTAGCCTCGGAGTAAGTTAAAAAGTGGGGAACTGTGGCTCAAAATAATATTCAGTAAATTTTACTCTTTAAAGGTGTCACCTCTCCCTCTGTAGCTCAGCATTTAGAACAGGAAAAAAGTATTAAGTTCCACACAGGTGTCACATTTTAGCTTCCATTGGCTGTCTACCCCAGCCCTGTTGGTAATTAGCTTAGGCTCTATGCCATTGAGATGCATTCTTTCTGGCTTTTGTTATTAAGGGTTGTACGTGTGGAGGCACAGACTTTAGACTAAGGATTGTTTAGTGCCGTGGAGGAAATAATCAGACCTCACAGATGATAAACGTCCATGAAAGCTACGGAATCTTTGGTCTATTTTTATGTACAGCTAATCAAGTGTGCCATCTGCATTATGTGCTGTGTTTATATATTATTTACATGGCCCCAAATTGTCTGTAAACAGAAGTGTTCAATTAGGTCAAACTCTTTTTAGCTTGTAGTCTGACAGGAGTTTTAGAACACAAGTCCTGACCTTGGCAGTCCCGGCAGGCTTAGCTTGGCTACTGTTTCTCATTCGCCAGTTAAAGAGATGAGTTATGGTGAAAGTCAGAAGGGGTGGGGGACTAATACAGAGGGTCAGTGTCCCTGGGTTCATCTGGGGACTGCTGTGAACTTTAGATTTAAATAGAGAAGGGATTAAAACAACAGACAAAAAGGTTTGTGTAACTCGGCAGTCCCCATCAAGCTGTGATCTTGTTGGTTTTCCCCTGTCCTGGTCCTACAGTGTGGTTAAAATAATCCCTTATTGCTTGGAGGGACAGCTGGCTTTCAGGGGGTAATTGCTCGTGCTCCAGGGTGTGGCCCCACTTCCACAGATGATTGCTCTCATCTGGAGCTGAGCCTGTTGGGTTTTATTTTTCCTGGAATCCGAGGCTTTGAACAATAATTCCTCTTTGTACTTTCAGTCTTCCTGGTTAATGTGCTCACCTGTGAGATAAGTAGGTCACAGAGGGAAAGGGGGACAGGTACACAAAGGGAAGGCTTTGTCCTGCTGCGGGCTGCCTTCTGGGCCCAAATAAAGCTGATGCCTTTTAACAAAAGCAGTTCCTAAGTGCCTGCGGCAGTAGCATTAAAATCCCTGACAAATCCATTAACTTACATTTGTTAGAAGGAAAAACATAGTGTCTTTAAGCGATTAACATGTTCTGTCTATGTTACAGATATGGCTTCATGGGTTTCCACAAAAATATAGTTATTAAGAAAGAAATATTTTCTAAACTTTGTAAAAAGAAAAGAAAAAAAGTAGAATTATCAAGCATGAAAGAGAGAGATGGAAGGCTGTAGGTTTAGAAATGTATGTTGGGTAAAGAAACCTTAAAAAATGAAATGCTTTAGATAAATGAGGATTTTAGGTAGTAACTTTGACCTAAAATAAAAGGATTGTTCCAAAATGAGGTGAAAAGGAGTGTGGACAAAAACCAGAAAGTGTAAGCACACTGCAGAAGTAAGTTTAAGTAAGTGTAATGAAAGGATCTTTTTTTAAAAAAAAAAAATCTATTTTGTCAGTTGCTCTGCAGGCAGACAATGGGACCCCAAATCAACTTTTTAATTTGTCTTTTGAAGTTTTCAACCACAGAGAAAATTTTATTTGCAGTGCGAATGCCCAGGGGAAGCAATTGTAGTCACACCAGCTGACGGCTTTAGCCCTGGAGAATACTACACTTCCCTAGGCAGATAAGAACCTGCCCCCTCAGAGAAGCCCCAGGCCAAGAGGATTCTAACGGACCCATGGGTGCCACAGCCGTTGTTAGCCTGGGCACTGCAAGGGTCTAAGAATCCCAGGGCATTACCTCCTCTACTAAGCAGGCAACTGTGGTAAGGGAGGAGGCTGTCCCGCTCCCCAAAGGGAGGATGGACCTTCTGAAAGTGTCCAAAGTGAATTCCTCTTCAAGCCCCTGCAGGCAAACACTGAGGGGCCTCAGGTGACTCCTGATACGGCAGACAAAAATATTAATTTTCTGGAGTTGGAGAGGCGGCTCAGTGGTGGACCTGAATCCGGTTCCCTCCAACCACCTGGCACTCCAGTTTCAAGAGACTGGACACCCTCTTCTGGAGTCCGGGGCACCTGCCCTTACCTCTCGACCCGCATGGAATTAAACTGTGGATTTTCTTTTCAATACTGGCCGCTGTTGTGTCCCTCCACTGTTACTCAGGACCCCGAGGAAGCATGTGGAGTAACTAGTGTCGGGGACATACATCAAAGTCAAAGGTGTCATTAATGTCAGTCCTGGCCTTGGGATTGTCCTAGAACATGACCCCTAAGAGTCCCACACAGAGCCAGCAAAGGTGGCTTAGCAGGCAGAGGCCCTTGTCCCTCCAGCCTGATGACCCGAGTGTGACTTCCAGATTGCATGTAAAGCTGGAAGGAGGAAACCATTTTACAGAGCTGTCCGCTGACCTCCACATAATGTGCCGTGGAATGCACACACACATGCATAATAATAATAATAATAATAATAATAATAATAATAATAATAATAATAAATTTAAAAATCCAAATAAACTGTATGGTAGCTGGAATGCTTACAAACTGTGACAACTGCACCATGCTTTGGGGCCACA